AACTTTTTATAAATGGAAAATAACTCAGAACGATTTTTCATTAAATAGGTCCAAGTGCAACGGGAAAAATCATCAATAAAGGTAACGAAATACCGAAAACCTAAGACAGACAAGGTACGACTTGGACCCCAGATATCTGAATGAACAAGAGAGAAAGGGGCATCAGCTCGTTTATTGACTCGACTGGCAAAAGAGGAGCGTGTATGCTTCCCTTGTTGACATGACACACAATCTAAAGACTGAAGACCGGACAAAAGAGGAACCATTTTCTGCAACTCTGAAAGACTTGGATGACCAAGGCGACTGTGGATAAGTTGTGGAGATTCTGTGAGAGAGCATGCTACTGAAGGACGAGGCACATCCAGATAATAAAGCCCTCGTGACTCACGACCCACTCCAATCATTTTCCCCGTACCCGGATCCTGCACAGAAACAGAATGGTTAGAGAAAGTAATGGTGCAAGTGAGGGAGTGGATCAACTTACTAATAGAAATTAAGTTATAAGGGATGCCAGGAATGTAATAGACAGATGTCAGGGCCAAGGTAGAGGTCGGACGAGCTTGTCCAATCCCACGAACTGGGGCTTTGGTTCCATCCGCAAGGGTAAAAGACGGTAAATGATCAGAATAAGTAAGAGATGTAAAGAGTTCCTTATTACCACAGAGATGATCGGTAGCACCGGAGTCAAATATCCAAGTGCCAAGTGATGTAGAATGAGAAACACAAGCAACGGGATTACCAGTATAAGGCTGAGACTGAGGAGAAGCCTTCCTGAGAGGGGTTTGGAGTGCAGCACAGTCCGAACCTGAACCAAATGATGCTTTGTCTGACTGAGCTATATTTGCAACAATAGAAGGAGAGTTAACCTCCGAGAGATCAGGAGATGCTGCTGCCATTTAAAGATAAAATATAAAAGCCGTAAACGAAGGCAAACGATATCCAATCAAGAAGAACCACGCGTCTAAGGTCAGACCCACAGAGAAACAATCACAGATCCAGAAAGGGGAGGAGAAGGCGAGCTTCTTTGTCCAAGACCGGCCGGAAAAAGCCGCCGGAATAGTGCTCACGCGCCGGCAGAAGGTGGCGCGTGAAGCCCACGCGCAGTGAAGACAGGTGGCGCGTGACGGTGCGTGGGAGATGCGTTGCTGACCGGACCACCACAGACCTGGTCGCCGGGAAGAGAGGGTCCTGATCGTGTGAAGTTTGGTCGGAAAAGTCGCCGGAAAAAGTCTCCGGTTGCCTGAACAGTGATTCTGACGGCGGGCGGTGGTTCCGGTGGCCGTCGGAGGTGCTGACGCGTTTGGAAAAATCACTCAGAGGCTGTTTACAGCCCTAGAAGGCTTGCCGGAAGGACGCACGGCAAGAAAGAGGACTCCTAAGCAGTGGGCTTAGGTTTTTAAAGCAAAAAACAAGGTTTCTGAGCGGAAGCGAGGGTTCTTAGAACGAAAGAGCTCTGATACCAAGTTAAATGTAAAAGAATACGTTGTGTATTGATCTGTGTCAGGGAGTTACAATATATAGAGACCCTAATGGGCTTAAGTGTAAGGCCCAAACCTAATCCAAACCTAATCCTAATACAGTCAGACTATTTACGGATAAGACAGAATCCAATCATATCTAATCAAATCTAATCATATCATATCTAATATTCTAACAAAGACGAACAAAAAGAACATCATATTTTTCGGTAGACATGAGGCTAAGAAAAATCGCAGGGGAAAAAAAAAACCGCAAAGTGTACAGTAGCGCAAAAAGACTAGAACTGGGAACTCAGAGACTGCGAGCGTAGCTAAAAATTTGGTAATGAAACCTAGTCTGATACCATGTTAAACTTAGATAAATTGGAATAAAAACTGTGTCTTCTCCTTTGGAGAATTCTCATTTAAATAGTATGATACAATCTGATTTCTAGTCTTGGAGTTTGCTAAAAAGCTATAAAATGGTAACCTACAGCTGGCTAACTAATTAAGGATATAATTACACAGTAACCTACAGCTGGCTAACTAATTAAGGATATAAATACACAGTAACCTACAACTGGCTAATTAATTAAGGATATAATTACACAATTACAGTTATACAATCATACAAGATATAATTACAAATCTGCACAAATAATGCCAAATATTCTGCCTATCAATTCTATTGACATAATAACCCAAATATTCTAACACTCCTCATCAGGCTTTAAGCTTGTCACAAATAGCAAAACCATAAACATAAGACAAATTTCACAACCAATCTCAATCGAAGAACTTATGGAACTAGTACTCTCCCTCAATAACAGAACTTTCGAAACATCATTGGTCTATAACTCCGAGATGTCTTCAACCTTACTGCTTAGTAGCCTCCTTCACCTGCTTCTAGCTTATCCCCAACACACATCCCAAGCAAATGAGACTTCGACCTTTTTCCTTAGTGGTCCCCTCGATATCCAAACATTGGGTTGGTCTCATGCCACCCAGCAATCAAAGAGGGCCTCTACTAGCATCCAAATTCTTCAATCGACAAACCTAAACAACAAACAGTAATCTCTAAATAAAATAGACCACAGAAAATTACTCCCCAGACTAAAACTGCACTAGAATATGAGGCCAAACAGGCCATGCAAAGGTGGAACAGCAGGGGATAGACAAACCCAAAAAGGGAAAAAGCAAGGCCAATCTGACAGAAAATCATCTCCCTGCCTGAAAAACCCTTGGTTACACTCATTACTCATTAGACTTTTCTGAAACCACTAGATACCATGGTCAAATTGTTACCAGCCATAGGAACATCTGAAATCACTTAAATAATGCAAATACTCCAATAACCAGAAGACAAAATGAATCTAAAATAGAAAACTAGAACAAAACTAAATTTAAAACAGAGCTTGCTGAAATAATTCATTGGAAACATCACCAGAGCACCAGTCTCCATCGACCGCTTTTAGCTTCCTTCCAACCTGATCTGCACCGGAAAAAGACATACCCAGGCATGAACAGCCGCTGGGATGTGTGGTGCATGAACAAAACCACATCTAGCTCATCATTAACAGAATTAGTACTAGTGATTATTAAATTTATTCTAATCCAGCAGCAACTAACTTAAGTTTATCGTGATCTCTTATCTACTCTCTCTCAGCAACTAACTATATCACTTATCTATTTTTTGGTCAGCAACTGATTTCATCTCTTATCCCAGAATTGATTCAGTTTCTTCAGCTGCAACTAATTCAGTTTTTTCAGCCATTCTTGCTTCTCCTTGCGTCAGATATGATCCCATGTTCTTGTACCTAGTGTACACTTTATCAATTGGTGTTCTAACAGATTGATACGTAAATTCCACAATACCCTAAAAGAAAAGTGATAAACACAAACCAAATGTTCGAACACGAGTTAAAAGAAGATTGAATTTCATGAAAAGCAAATGTGTTACTGTAAAGTGATGTTTTAATTATGATATTTTGATTTTGATTTCAACCATCTATATCTGATAGTTGCAATTTCAAATAACCAAGATAGTCCCCCTAATAATTTCCAATATCATTGTCCATTGAAAGTTGATGACATAGCTTTAAGATAGCAGCATGCAAAGACACCATCACATCAACAGTGTGGCTCATTCATGGCTACAGGTGGACCACAATAATTTGTCACGCAATTTAAGGAACTAAATGAAGTGAGCAAGCTGAAACCAATATTACAGATGAGTCCACCAGACAAAGTGGCCTACGTGCGATCATTAATTTGAAAGGGTGGTCCATCCACCTTATATTCTTCTGCATTAATTTCTCACTGGTCCTTCTAAATGATGTCTGATAAATTGAGGTCCTCTATCTAGATTAAATAACATGAAATAAGAAAAGGGTCTATGAGTAACAAATACAGAACGTCAAGGAGAATGTTACAAGCGTGAGAACAAGGTCCAAAGGTAGATGACTCTACAACAAAAAGCAGAGAGAAAAAAGTGATCCTCTGGGGTTTATATGATATATGAATTGTCATTGCAAGCGCTGAAGGAGATTACTACCAAACTATGCTTAGACTGAGTTACACTAGTACCAAAACAATATAAGTTGACAATTTAATGGTTAATGGATCAGACACCAATTTTTGACTTTCATTATAAATCCAGATGCACCTTAAGCATATGGATCAGAGTTGAAAAAGCTTTAGCATACTTATCCAATTGAAATAGAATACAACATCAACTAAATGAAAAGTTAAAACCCATAACTAGTTTGCTCCGTTCTGCATCAATTCAGAGGTTAAGCATGTCGCACTCCCCCCCCCCCCCCCCCAACCACCCCACACACACACAATGCTCAATAAACTGAGTTGTCAGCTCTACATCACTTCTGTCTTATATCAATTATAAGCTTCCAGAAATGTGGGTAATTTTGTGCATGACGACAAACAGCCCATGCTAAATGATAACGCACATGCAATATGGATAAGATTTTTCTAACAAATTCTGTTGAGCAGATAAAAGACCACTACATTGAGTTGCATAGAACTCTAATATATAGTGTGTAAAGACCAAGTCAAAACAGAACTGACCCACTTGGCATGATAAGCATTAACAACAAACTGTTGAGCGTGAGCACGTGAAGGATAAGAACTGCCACGAAAGCAACCATTATTTATTGTCTACATAAGCCACACGGTCAGAGATAAAGCCTTGAGAAAAAGCCTATCCAAGGTTCAGCTACACTATTTCAATGCCGACAAAATTAACATGTTATTAATCTGTTACTTCAGGTAGCAATCAAGAAAAATAAATAAATCAAAAGCTTATAAAAATGCAAGGACATAGCATTCCTCAGTAGCAATAGCAGTTAGCCATAATGTAAGCAAGACCACTATATTACAACAGGATATATCACTGTAAAGAAATGATTTAGGCATTTGGCACCAGAGATAACAGGAATCACACTAGCTAATTATGAACTACAACCGCCCATCTACGAATTCTAACAGATAGCTGCAACAACAGAGGAGGAAGAAAATATGAATAACCTTGAGATCATCCTCAATCTTTGCCACTTGACCATGAATACCATCCACGATCTCCTTCAAAGGCGACATAGTCGGGTACTTTGCTTCATCCCAAACAAACCTGGATCCACCGGAAAAAACACCAAATTTTCACACACAACAAGAGCATGACCGCACACAACAAGAACTGATTACAGATTCTCAACGAACAACAAACCTCGTCAAGTACGAATCAATAGGCACTCCATCCACTGTCAGCCCACTGCTCTCCACGCCCGACACTCTCTCCAGTTCCTCAATCTGCCGCCTAATCTTGTGCGACACTCCTTCCATGAAACTATTTGACTGCAATGCAAGCACGCACAAATTCCCAACAGATCAAGCAAATTCGCACAATCCAAAATAAGCAGCACACAATAAACACGCCATTTCGACATTCGAAATCATAGATCTTCAAAATTCGACAACAACAAAAAAAAAAGCATTAAACAGTTTTCGCATAATTGAGAATTCACGCACCTTGACGAGATCGTCGCTTAGAGAGAGGAGAGAATCTAAGGTTCCGACACGGAGATTAGGAATATTGAACTGCGAATTGCAAGAAAAAAATGATTAAAAAAAAAAAAGAGTTGGTTATTATTCAAATCTCTAAGAGGGGGGAGAGAGAGAGAGAGAGAGAGAGAGAGAGAGAGTACTCTGTAAAGAGGAGTATCGAAGGAATGCTTGGAGATTTGTTCTTGCAATTGATTCCAGAGAGTGGATGCGGAATTTTGGACGGGAAGAGAAACTACCCAGTATCTGGTCGCCATTGGAGCTCTGAGCTGTACCTCTCTGATCACACACCCCGAAAAATATATAAATAAAAATAAATAAAAAATGGCGAGAAAGACACTGTTAACTGTTTGTTTTGTAGCAAGCTAATGGTAATTTACCCGTGGGTGGAGGGGAAAAAAAATCCATTTGTTTACCTTGTACAAATTAACACAAATCCTGAAAATATATATTTGTATTTTATTTAAATCAACAATCTTTGGTATCTAATTTTAGGGGTGTGCATAAACTGATTTATAATTGATTTTGATAAAAATCGAACTAAACTGATTTTAAACGATTTGGTTTTCAAATAGAACTGGATTTTTTTTTTTAAATCGATTTTTAATTTTTCAAATCGGTTTATAGTTCAAAACCGATTTTAATTCAAAACCGATTATGAACCATAAATCGGTTATCAAGTTCAAAATAAGTTTTATAACAAATTCAAATTTGGATTTTGATGAATTGTGCTATTTTAATAAGTACTCGTTTCTCTCGGTTATAGGTAGTTGGTCAACTATTTCTTACAAGAATCTTCATTGTTTTGGAACTCTTTAGACGAAATGATTATTATAGAAATTATTTCACGTTATTTTGAAAATGATTGGTAGAAGAACAATTAATTATTTTAAATTATAAAAACAAATTGTTCTTCATTCTCTCAAAATTTATATTACTAAGAGTTTCATTTCAACGAAAGATTTAGGAGCTGCCTATGGCACGCAAAGAGTGGCATGGGTGTGGTTATGGATAATCTGACAAAGCCCATCTAGCTGAGATCGATGGAAAAAAATATATTATTAGCTTATTTTGCTCACAAATATCAATTCACAAAATGAGGAACAAAAAGCTATGGCTATTCAGGAAGGAATGAATAACAACAAAATAAGATCACTAACATCAATATATCCACTCAAGAACTTTGTCTACATAAAAACAAAAAAACAAAAAACAAATATACATTCTGAAGTGCTACAAAAAACCATAGTTCAAATCCCTTTTTACTGTAAGCATCATATTTATAGATCAAAATCTACTCGAAAAAAAAATTGGCATGAGGCTTCGAAAAAGAAAAGGAAAATCTACCCTAAAATTGAGTGCGTTAATAATACACCATAAAATTCAGCATTAGGCAAGTGCTACCACTACAAAAAAAAAAAAAAAAAAAAAAAAAAAAAAAAAAAAAGTCACAAGAAAATTGGAGTTTGGAGAAAGTAGATCAGTTTGGCTATGGATAACCAATTATTTTTATGGTTTGGTAAATAACTAATTTATAAAATAAAATGTAGTTTCGTATGAAACCGGTTTTAAAAAAAATCGATTTTTTAAATGTGAAGCAGTTTACTTATAGATTGGTTTAGTTCTTTTGGACATTTTGAACACTCCTACCTAATTCCAATTTTTTTGTACATATAAAGTTAGCAAATATTTGACTTGTTATGTTTAATATTTTAACAAATACTTCATAATTGAAGTTGAATGTGGAAATTTAAAAGACTACTCATTAGCTTAATTGCATAAGTATTAATTGAGTAATTGATAAGAATTAATTTTTTTTGTTAGTTCAAACGAAACTCTATACCCCACGTATAAAGTTCTATATTTGTGGGCTTAGTGATTATTTGTGGTCCACCAAACTTTGCAAAGGCATCTTGCTTGATCATTTGATATAAAATGCAAATATCATTGTATTAACTTGTTCCGTAGTTATTCAAAAATTACGTAGTTTGATTCGGCTTCTTTTAGTATTTCTTAGAGATGGACTTTCATTTATCATAGTATAATTGTTCTTTTTTCTTAGATGCTTGTTTCTGAAATATTTGCGACAGTAAATTCAATGATCTTAGACACACAAAGACGAGTTTGTTAGACAATAAATATAAGAAGAAGAAAAAAGTGTTGGCGGACGAGGTGGGTCGGTCCTTCGGGCCGAGTCTATTTTGTCATCTCTAACTATCAACATTTTATATCAATATGGTTTGTTAGATAGTAAATATAAGGGAAAAAAGTGTTGGCGGACGAGGTGGGTCAACCCTCTTGCCGAGCCATTTTTCCATCTCTAACTGTCAGTATTCTATATCAGCATGTAATAATTTTTATATTTATCAACAGAAAAGGTTCTTATAGTTGCATCTATATTGTTATCTATCATGTTTTCTATAGATGTCTCTAAATTGACTTTCTAAAGTGTGTGTATTTGTGACATATATATTAGATAAAGAGTTGACAAATATTTGAGTTATTAAGTTTAATATTCTAATAAACACTTATTAAAGACTCCTGTAACAGCCCGTTACGTACCAGTGTTATTAACATTGATTATGATATTAAGCACAGTTACAATCACAACAGTTCATTTAAAAAAATGCGAGTAAACTTTTTCCTTTTCATTACGTAAGCATTTAAAAATAATAATAAGACGTAATGATAAAAGTTGTGATCGTAACTAAAATCTAAACGCGAAATAATTAAAATAATTGCCTAACTATCATACCTTGCTTTTCTTGGGTCACAAAGGGGTTCCCATAAACCCACTTAGCATAAATCTCACTTTTATGATTTTTACATAACTGAACATGGTTCAGTCATCTGGACATTGTGAGATATTTACTGGTTACAAGCCCCTCATATTTTAGTATATTAATCTAGACTTAATTACCTTTCTAACAAGGTATCACACGCCCCATAAAGTTCTCATTTGCTCCGGTTATCGCCGTTTGAAGTTGGACAAGAAAAGCTGCCAGCCAACCCAAACAAAACACCAAACATACCTCACCATTTTTGCGATTCCGAACAAACCATTCCACTAATTTCCGTCATATTTTTATAAAATAAACTAGAAACCTTAAGCTTCAATTTTACCTATCATAGGCCTAATTTGACCAAGAATTGAAGGAGAACTAATTTTCCCAAAACTGCCGCCCGACAACCCCCAAGTGCAAGGCATTCTGGACAGTCCACACTCAGACGCGTCTCTAGGTTGCGCACAGCTCCAATTTCTACCAAATTTTGACACAACATAATTGACATCTCAACCTTCAAAATTATGTATGGCACGTTCCTATTGGACCTCTATGGAGGGAGATATGCTCTCCCAAAGTTAGCCTAAAATCTGCCATTTTATTATAAATTTCGGCGGCACCTCCTTGTTTATTCAACCTATTCCACTTTATCAAAAGTGTGTTATTATGTCTCAATGATACCTAATAGAAAAGGGTGGCACTCAAGGACCAACAATGCCTTGGTGCTCTTACAACCCACAACAATTTAATATATTCTCATCCATTTATGATTCATTACTTACTTTATCAAAACTTAGATTTATTACAATCACATTGTCCCATTTGCACGCATTCTTACAATAAACACATAATCATAACCTAAAATAGCCTATGGCCCTTTCATCACATACATGCTTCAAATATTACACAAGGTTCATAAATTACAAATCACAATTCTTCCAAATGATAACATAATACAACAATAAATCCTCAACTACAACATAATGAAACAGCAACTAGACTTAGGCAAATATGGAATGAACAAATATGACAATATGTAAAATCCTAAAGCAATATACAATGTTCATGCCCTAAGTCTAGCATTTGCCAAGAGTGGCCTCAAAATGCAAAAAGTCTTATAATCTCCAAGTGCTCATCATGTAGGCCTCTTGCCCACAGCTCCAGCCCCACTGCAACTACCTGAAATAATGCCCCAAACACGGGGTGAGATATACGAATATATCTCAGTAACCCAGAGATTCTGGAGATTACTCCTTCCAATGGCTCACTCAGATATAAATCAACAATGAATTATAACAACCAAAGAGGGATAAAACAAGGGATTTAGTGAAGTATGGATGAAAAGGGAGTAAACATATGATGAAGCTGAAATGGTTAATGCCAAAATCACTCAACATCCGGCCTATTGGCCTTGACATATAGCTTACAGGCTCTCATCTAAGGATGTGTTCCCAGAACATCAACCAAGGCACCCACCACCAATTAGGGTTGGCAAAAATGAGCCAACTCGTCGGGTTAGCTCGTAACCCGCTAAAAATAAGCCGGGTTGGGTTGGCAAAAATGAGCTGCCAACCCGAGCCAGCTCATGAAAAAACGAGCCAACCCGCGGGTCAAACGAGCCAGCTGGCGGGTTGATTTTTTTTTTTTTATATAAATATACAAAATATAATATACAAAAATGGACAAAACCTACACATGTTGTCATCATTTTTCTTCTTTCTCTAATCCTAAGTCCTTAATCTTCTCACATCCCTGCCATTTTTATATTGTTAGGTTGTACTGGCTCTGTTTGGTTCAAATATCTTACCCACTTGGTAGCAACTGGTTCTGATTGTTTCTTGATGTTAATGCAAATTTGTTGTAAAGAAAATTTGAAACTAAAATATTTTGTTTTTATTTCTCATTCTGTAACCCTTTGTTTAAGCTAATGGAAGCCACATAGCTGGTGCATTAATACTACAAGGTCATTTAAATAGGCTGAAAATGAGCCAACCCGCAAGCAATTTTCGAGCCAACCCGCGAGCCAATTTTCGAGCCAACTCGCGAGCTATTTTTTCAAGCCAACCCACGAGCCATATTTTTTAGCCAACCCTAACCCTAACCCTAACCCAACTCGGGTTGGGTTGGATTTTCTGGCTCTTTATTTTTTCAAGCCAACCCTAACCGGCTCGTTTTTTCAGGTTCAATGCGGGTTGGGTCGAGCCGGGCCAGGTTGGCCTGTTTTGCCAGCCCTACCACCAATACACCCGAGACATTCCTAGAGTGCTCCTCAACGGATAACAACTTCATGACCCCAGGTCAACTGGAACTCCTTCATGGAGACCCATACATTGGAAGTCCATAACGCCTGAAGGCAACTATCTACTGGCCAGAGACACAGTATATCCTATGTACCCCATATATATACTTATGCATGAGCATATTATAATTACACTATTAACATACAACCTCCAACCACTACCCCCAAGGGGCATGGTGCAACACACACGGGGATTAACCCCAGTACTAAAGGATTATCTTATTGAAGCTCCCAAGCTAGGTAGCTCAAATGCAAGTTGCACAATACTTAGTCCACCCTGAAATGCCACAATCCTTTTGGTCCAAGACCAAAGG